TAGTGATGGGAATTATGGCTCTTTGAAGGGAGCCGGATCTTATGGCTCCGTTCCTTTCAAAGAGCCGTTCAAAAGAGCCGTTCAAAAGAGCCGTTGTTTTAAAGGGGGCGGGGTTACTAGGTTTATCTGCGAAATAATCACCAGGATAATGATTGACTGCATTGCCAGACCTAATGTAAATAATCGGCATTGTAAACATGACACAAGGTGGCGCCATATCCATGTCATCATGTCAGTGAATATACTTTGAATTTACCCTCTGTATGTGATAAGTAAATAAAGTTGCCTTGCCTTGAATGAAATTCACGCAACTCTTAATATTAGATACTGTGTTTTTAAGTGGCGATGGAGATTATTTGTTGACCCTGCTTTAAAGGATATTTTGCCTTTACAAATGGTGCGCTTTATCACTGCCTGGGTTTTGGTTGAAGTGCATCCAAATGCTGCTGCGCTTTCACGTTTGGCTCATTTTCCATCCGAAAAACACGTGGTCTACCTGTCCTGTACCACTTGGTATGACTTCTCTCTCGCGCGTATTCCGTTAAGACCCACCCCATCTCACTCCTCGTGCTGAAACCTACCAATCAGAGTAGGGGCGGATCTTCACGGAATACGTTTGGGGAACAAAATCAAGCTTTTTAAAAGGCGAGTGCATGTTGGCAGGCAGTGAGTGCGGACCAACGATTGAACGATAACAAGAACGGCTCTCACCAAGTAGGACTCGGTTCCCCTCGTTCGTACCAAAGAGCCGTTCAAAAGAATCGGCTCGTTCGCGACCGACACATCACTACTTGATATAAACAAACAACAAATAGCGTCTGCGTTCCATTTTCACTCTACAGCAAGAAGCTCATGGGGCTTTCCCGAACCTGTGTCGAGAGCTGGAGTTAAATGAAATCTCAGATTTGCCTTCTTAATAGTTTGTTTGGGTCCCTCACTTCTGTTTCGCTTCTCATGCACTGATTCGCTAGCTGAACAGCCAATCAGAGTGATTTATTTTGCCGACTGCCTTTGGCCGACTGCCCGGCTGAAAAGACCCGACGGTGCGGGACACACCAATCGGATTAGGGCGTGTCAACGCTCATCGTCGGCCTGACGCCCACCAACGCCGATAATCGGCCTGGTGTGTCCGTGCCTTTAGGGCGATCAGCTTTCCACGGAGAACAGCCTTCAAAGCATCCCACAGTATCACAGCAGGGTCCACATCCCCATTATCATACTCCTCTATATTTGTATCTCTCCCCTTAACTATTCCACGGACGCCTTATTATTCAAAACACCCACATTGAGCCTCCACACTGTATTCTTTTGTCTACTATACAGATTTATTGACAAGCTAATCATATTATGATCCGAAACATCTGCCACCCCGATTTTACACTCTGTGATCCTGTGACTTTCACCTGTATTTATTAAAAAGTAGTCAATTCTGGAGTAGACAGAGTGAAGTACTGAATAGTGTGTATAATCCCGTTCTAGGGGGTGAAGTTCCCTCCAAATATCAATTAGTCCCATTTCCTGCACTCACGCATTAACAAACTTGGTCAGGTGCTTCTTGCTATTTTTGTGGCTTGTAGTGTCTATGGTACGATTCAGGACCACATCAAAATACCCTCAGTCTCTAATGCAATGACGTCAAACAGAGTTTTAAAAATACATTTGTTACTCTCTGGGGGGCATACATTGACAATGTCACCACTGCGTTTTCAAGTTTTCCTTTCACTAATACATATCGTACCTGTTTGTCCCTAACTTCTTTATGGAGTTCAAATTTAACTTCTTTATGGAGTTCAGACATCTACTGTCCCACAAACGTACCGGGCAGAGGAGGTGCAGTTTAGCCTCCCTGTCCCCAACATGGGGTGGAAGACTAAAGCCGCCCAGCTGTATAGCCCTTGACCTGAACGAACTTCTTAAGTTCTTGGGAACAAAGGAGGGGTTCGGCCTGAGTGTCGACACGCTACGGTCACCCCGGATCCACAGGCAACTCGGGTGTACCGATAGAGCGGTCAGTTCGGACACTCTCTTGGCCAAAGTCAGGGCCAGCAGCAACGCTGTTTTTAATGACTCCCTTCAGGGAGGAGAGCTCAAGAGGCTCAAATGGTTCTGTGACCAGAGCCTCGAGCACCAACGGCAGGTCCCATTGCGGGGCGGAGGCGTGCACTACTGGGCGCTGCCTCCTGACCTCCTGCAAAAACCGCAATATGTCAACTGCAAACAAGCGGTTGACTGAAGGCTGACCTGCCGCCAAATCCCTCATGACAGGATGAAATGGCTGCTGCATACACTTTAACTGTGGAATAAGCAAGCCCCCTGTCCACCAGTAACTGTGAATAGAGCCCAGCGTAGAAGATAAGGGCTCTAGACTTCCCTCTTCACACCATCGCTGGAATGCCAACTTCTTTGGCCTGTAACAGGCTGTGGTGGATCCTGCCCTTGCTGCCTGGATAGTCTGGATAACTTTGTCAGACAATCCCCCGTCTCAGCCTGTCCCTCTCAGGAGCCAAGCCTGGAGAGGTTGGCCCAGAGCGGGTAACGCCCCTATTGCCCCCGCCCCCTGAGATATCGCCCCCCAGACCTGAGGAACTGCCCAGGGCTGGCTCACCATCATCTGTGTCACCTCCGCGAACCACGGCGCCCCGCGGCGGTCTGGGGCCACTAGGATGACTGACAGATGTTCTCGTCTCACCCTCTGCAGGAGGGGAGACTGCAAGCCGTCCCCGGCGTGTTCAGGCCCCAGACACTCGAAACACAGGCGGTGGGGATCGGCACCTGCAATTAGGACGTTGCATGTAGGGCAAGGTCGATGCTCAAGGACTGGTGAGTTTTCCATTCTCAATCTTCTTCTCTCTCTTTCGCTCTCTCAGTTGTTTATCCTGCTCACTGAAGAGAAAAGGATGACGGTCAGGAGGTGAGGCCGCCTTATATAGGGTGGGCTGCCCGCACACTCAGGTAGGCCCGCCCCGAGGGCCGGCTACGTTTCAAAATATCTCAGTAGGTGAACACTTGCATAGCGAGGTCAAGGGCAGTACCCATAGAGTCCAGTAGAGGGCGGAGCCTGTGAGATATAACATCTATTCCAGTTTGACTTTGGACAACTGTATATCTGTTGCCCCTTTTTTTTGTCCATTTTAAACCGGAAGAGACAGCAATGTTAAAACGATCCACAACTTAGAGGATACAAGAGATTTTTTTTTAAAAACTAATAATTGCTGTTCTCAAGCTGAGAGGCAACTGATCCAGCTGCTATACTGCTGCCATGTGCAGAGAGTCCTGTTTTAACACATTTCAGCCCCAGATTGTTTTCTCATTACATTAAAGTCAGGGATCCACGTAAGAATGCCCTTGATTCTTCTTAAACTCAAAAGGTCCATCTTATGAACTGATCCATCTGCACTACACTGCCTTCCTGCAACGTGTGGAGTACCTTTTCTTCCCCTGAAAGATTTCCCACAGGAGTTGAGACCACAGCAGTAGATTAGATGGAAAACAAGAAAATATTTTTCAGGTTAAACTATTCTTGAGTAAAGTTGCTGATGTTTAAATGAACTAAAACTGTACTCTAAAGCAGTGGTTCCCAAACTTTTTGTGCCCAAGGCACACCAAAGGACAAGTAAAAAATCTCAAGGCACACCTATTGTGCAAAATAGCCCTTATAACACGTGTTATCACTCATATCATGTAAAATATCTGTAAATGTGCATAATTATTTACTAATGTCAAATAAAATGTGACAAAGACAACTATATTACTCATGAAATATTTATTAACGAAATATTTCAGAAATTAATTTGAAACTTTATCAAATTAGGCTTCATCAAAGCAGCAACACACTCATTTAATCCAGACAGGTCACAAAATAAAAAATTGTGGAGGATCAGGCTTTGGTGGTCGGCTCCCATCTCGGCGCACAGCTGGGAGAAGAGGCGAGATTTCAGGGGCCTTGATTTGATGTAATTCACCATCTGCACAGCCTGATTCAGCACCTCAGTCAACTCCGGGGGCATGGTTTTGGCAACTAATGCCTCTCTATGCAAAATGCAGTGGTTTGTCACGATATGTGGGTTTTGTGCTCTCACCTTAGCAATAAATCCTTTCACTCTCCCCGTCATGCTTGCCGCACCATCTGTGCAAAGACTGACGCACATATTCCAGATCAGACTGTTCTCTTTTAAATAGTTATTAGTTACCCTGAATATTTCTTCTCCCGTAGTATGGCTTTCCATTTCTTTGCAGAAGAAAAACGTCTCTTTGATAGAGTCAGCATCAACATATCTGACATTTGCCAGAAGTTGGGCAGCCCCACTTATGTCAGTAGATTCGTCTATTTGTAGGGAAAATCTGCCGCTCGCCACTGAAGCCATAAAACAGGTAACTTTCATGATACTGTCTGCTGACAGTTTTTTTCCTCTTTTCTTTCGGTGGTGGGTTGTCGGCAGTCTCTGCACTGGTGGTTGGTGGTTTGCTCCGCACAAGAAAGCGCTCCATTTTCCCTCTTGCGTGTTTCTCTGTTTTAATGTGTCACGGTCTTATAATTCCCACCTGCAACTGCGTTAACAGCGAAATATGGGGTTCTGTGAGGATTTTTTTTTTAAAGAATTGTTTTTAGGTATAGAGTTTGCCTCTGTATTATGAAATGAGTGCATACAAAGTACTGATATAGTAAATTAAAAAATAATTATTTTTGTGTAGTTGTATATTGCAATAATAACGTATGGTTGTCACAAAATCCCACGGCACACCCGGACTTGCCTCACGGCACACCAGTGTGCCGCGGCACACCGTTTGGGAACCACTGCTCTAAAGTGATCCTCAGATGTCCCTTATTCATATTCTTAAAGTGTTCATATCAGCTGTTCACACACACTTTATAAAACACACAATGAGCATAAGTAATCCACACATAATGTGAAGGGTTATTGGATCTTGTTAGCTCACATGAGAACTGAAAAATAGAACTTGGTGTGATTACAAAGACATCAGATGTTTACCTTTTTTTTTTATAACTTTATTAACAAAGAAAATAATTTCAGACTTGACTTTGTCATCCCCAGGAAAATGAGATTAAAATCAAATAACTTTTGTCATATTCCTTAAATTGTCTTCAGTAATGTGTGCCATGATGCAAAATGTCCGAAATATACAATGATAAGACAATATAAGTGTTAGATTTAGCATCAAGGCATGTCAGGAAAGTACAAATGCTTCTTATTTCATGTTTTTCTTCTATGATATTACAGTTTCAAAGGCAGGTTATAGCGTTTTCAGAATTCATCAGATCATTTCAATATATGCGGTAAACATGGTGTGCTGTTTTAGTAGCAATGAAACATTTACAGAAAAAAAAATGCATTGATCACAATCTGATAACAAAGTGTATACAACGCCCATCCCATAAAACACATACATTTATAACATTAAATGATATTGAAGCTGATTTCAAATCAAATTGTTGTCCCACTTAGTGTGATTGAGAGGAGAGATGATCAGAGGGGCAGAGTTGTCACCATTAAAGTTACGAGAAGGACAAAAGAATGGGTAGAGTTTCTCTTTGAAGCAGCAGTCAGTGAAGGAGTAGATCAGAGCTGCAGCATCAACATCATAAAAGGAGACCAGACCCTCCTCATAATCCACAAACACCCCCACCTTCTCAGGCTGAGACTTCAGAGAGAGACCGTGTTGCCTCCAATCATTGGCTATGTACTCATTGTAATACCTCAACCATATCGTCCAGTAACCATTCTGAGGAGTCACTATGATCTCTCCCTTCCTGTTGATCGACTCTCTGGTCACTCCTAAATACCAATCAGTCTTCCCTTCAACCTGAACCTCGTAATAAAATCTTCCTGAAGAGAAACTCTGCTTTGCTAAAACATTGGAACAAGGATTAAATCTCTCTGGATTGTTTGGGAGATTCTTCTTCACATCACCATGTTTAACTTGTTTTCCATCATCCGACAGGATGAGGTTGGGATGTGCTGTATCTGGATCAAGAGTCACCTCAACCTCATACTTCTGGACCCTCATCAGCTCCACCTCCACCTCATGCTGCTGGACCCTCTTCAGCTCCACCTTAGCGAGCAGCTTCTTCATCTGTTTACTGAGCGTCTCCTCCAGCTGAGTCAAAACTCTCACCACAGTCCCCTCATATGAAGGTGGACGGACCCTGACTTCTGTCCAGTTCTTGGTGGGTGGAGCAGCGTTCAGGGACGTGAAGCTTTGGAGGAGGTGGAGCTGGTCTTCAGAGCGTGAGAGCTGCTCCACCTCAGAGCTTCTCTTCTTCAGCTCAGAGATTTCCTGTTCCAGCTCTTTGATGAAGCCTTCAGCCTGTTCCTCTGTCTCTCTCTGCTTCTCTAGGATGGTGTTGATGATGTTGACCTGGCTACCGTATACAGACGCCGCCAGAGCGGTGATGACCTGAACACCATCTGCTATCCCTCTGTCTACTCCTTCCTTACTGACCTCCACTGAGCGATTCATCTCCTGAATCTTTAGTCGTCTCTTCTGGATCATCTGCTGAATTTCAGCGTCTGTCTTCCCCAGCTCTGCCTTCTTTCCTTCATATCCTTCTTTCAGAGGAACAACATCATGTGTCTTGTGCTCTGAAACACTGCAGAGCATGCAGACACACACCTGGTCGGTCTTACAGAACAGCTCCAGCAGTTTATCGTGCTTCACACACATCCTGCCTTCCAGGTTCTCCACAGGGTCGATCAGCTGATGTTTCTTCAGGCCTGGCCTTGTCAGGTGAGGCTCCAGGTGAGTCTCACACTAGGACTCCAGACACACCAGGCAGGACTTCAGGGCCTTCAGTCTGGTTCCAGTGCAGGCATCACAGGGAACTTCTCCTGGTTTGAAGACGTGTTGCTCTGAGCTGCTGCTGCTGGCTTTCTGTTGAGCTGACTGTCTGAACTGAGCAGCCATCTCAGAGATGAAAGTGTTGACCAGCAGCTCAGGCTTTATGTTGAACACCTCTTTGCAGTTGGGACACTGACTCGGGACATTTCTATCCCAGTGTTCAGAGATGCAGGCTTTACAGAAGTTGTGTCCACATGGTGTGCTGACTGGATCAGTGAACACATCCAGACAGATGGAGCACAGAAACTGATCTTCAGTCAGCAGACAGCTGGCAGCAGACATGTCTGTAAGAACAAAATGGGTACAAAAAAAAACAAAGTTTTAACTAAATGTAGTAGAGAATACGGTATGCATACTGGATGTAAAAAGCTGACACTAAAGTTCACTGCTTGCTTTAAAAGTTAAATACTATCCTTAATGTGTTAAACATGTAGATCATTTTACAGTGTGATTAAATGTCCTGCTATAACTCTGTGGCCCATAAACAACACATGACCACAACTCAATTATATTATTTGAAAAGCCTAATCCATCAGAATATATGTACTCATAGCCTCTGATCCCTGCCTGCTACCAGTCACTTAAATGACTGAAGCATGTGGCTAGTAGCTGCTTGTTAGTTATTCAAAGAGAAGGAACACATGGATTTTAGCCTCTGCAGACCATTTACATGCACAGAAACCTATAGAATTATGAAAAGCTCCAATGCTGACTTCATGTCTGACAGCGTATCTTGTGAGGCCTGGAACCATTTTCATGACATTAGACGCACTAAAGCTACTCGTGTCAATCGACTAATTATCCACGTTGGGTCTAATGATACAGCCCGCCAGCAGTCGGAGCTGACAAAAAAAGATTTTAAGAATTTTTTCTCTGAGGAAATCACAGAGGTGGAGGTAAAAAATATAATCTTAGGGTTAAAAGCTTCTAAGGCTAGGGATGCAGATGATTTAGACACCAACTTTATAAAGACAAATATTGACGGTCTAATAAAACCAATTAGTATGTTAGTAAATCAATCTATTAGCACGAGGGAAGTTCCATCATCCTGGAAGGTGGCCACGGTGACACCGATTTTTTTATCTGGGGATAAGGCAATGATGTCCAATTACAGACCAATCAGCATCCTCCCCTGTGTCTCTATTGGCGCATTTCCACCATGGCGCGTGGCGCGGTTTAAGCGTGTCGTGCCGGGCCCGTTTTTTGGTTGCGTTTCCACTAAACTGTAATGGAAGCGCAGCATTAAAGTGAGCCGGGCCGAACAAGGCCTAACAAGGCCTAAGAAAACCGTACTAAGTCAAGCGAGGCCTGCGGTGGAAATGTGCCATTAGATAGCTGAGAAATGGAAAACTAATCACCAAACATTTAGATAAAGGTTTCGCTCCACTCCACCCTATGCAGTTTGGTTTTCGTGCTCACCACTCCACTGAGACAGCCAACTGTGTCTTTGTGGAAAAGGTTAAATCTATGTTGGACACGAGCCCATATGTAGGTGCTGTCTTCCTTGATCTCAGGAAGGCTTTTGACACAGTTAACCACCAAGTGCTCCTTACAAAGCTGACTCATTTCAATTTTTCGGCAGATCCAATACAGTGGGTTGAGTCTTACTTATCGAACAGAAAACAGTGTGTTTTGGTCAACGGTACCAAATCCCCCTACCTTGTCAACCCTGTGGGGGTTCCACAAGGTTCCATTCTTGGACCAATACTGTTTTCTCTGTACATTAATGAATTGCCTAATGTATGTCCTTATTTGAATGTACAATTGTATGCCGATGATGCGGTCATCTTTGTACAGGGGAAAATTACTGAAATAATCACATCCTGTCTCTCAACTGCATTGGACAAGGTTCAACACTGGCTGAACAACATTTGCTTACAGTTAAATGCAAAAAAAAACAGTATGCATGATGTTCAGTAAACGACCAGTCAAAATCGAAGGATCCAATGTGTTTTTAAACGGAGCAGAATTAGAACTAGTCCCCCACTTCAAGTATCTTGGAGTCATACTGGACTCGAACTTGACTTTTAAGAAACATATTAATAAAGTATCCAATACCGTTAAAATCAACTTGCAACATTTTAAACAAATCAGACCTTTCTTAACTGTCAATGCTGCAAAGTCATACCTCCACTGTATGATTCTATCCCACATTGAATACTGTTTTACAAACTGGTCGTTTGCTTGTGCCACAAACCTGAAACCCATAGAACTGCTGTACAAGAGAGCTATCAAGGTGTTTGACAGAAAGCCTAATTCATACCACCACTGTACCATCCTTGATAAACACAATTTCTTGAGTTTTGACAATTTTTAAAACAAGTCTTTTAACCTGTTAAGCACCAAGCCTGTTTTTCATGTTTCAGGCTCGAAAATGACATGCCCAAAACAAATGACTACAACTTAACTTCTAAAAGGGTTATATGAATAATTTATTTTATCAAAGCAAGGTTACATCTGTGAGTTGGATGTAGAAGTGTCAGAATCAATATAGATGTCTTTTATTTTAAAGAAAATTCAGATTTTACATAGTAAAAAACTGTAGATTATAGTGTCCGTCCAAAAATTCTTTTTTACAGATAGTGAAAACTACCCTTGGATGATGGGTTAGTAGACTAAAAGCTTTAGGAATCCAAAGTACAACATATAAGTACCCTGTATCAAGATTGATGCAAAACAAGTGACATTTGACCTTTTTAGAGAGGTTTAGCCAAAACCACCCCACCTCTGAGGTGATTTGGGTGAAATGTTTTTTTGTCCATATCTCTGGCCCCCCTTGCTCGATTTTGATGGTTGACACCTCTTTCTGACCGTTAGAGCCAATGGAATCGAAGGGGGAGGCCCCCACACACACTCGTTGTGAAAACAAACGGTGGGGGCTTCGCGCATGTAATTTTGCAGCAGAGTGGACCGATCTCTCGCTCTGACATTTGGAAACGAAAAAGCAGTTTTATTGCTTATGGATGATCAGAAATCATTTCAAAGAGGGCACAGATACATTGGATGAACCTATGGATTAACTGCAGCATCGTTTTTTTATCGTTTTAATGCCATTGAAGACCAGTTTTGACCAAGGTAAGCCATGTTAGCGTTTCTAGCTACCTAGCTCCACATGTTATGATGTTCGCTTTCGTTTATAGCGTCGCAAATGTTTATCACTGAGTGTTGAGGTGGGCACCCCCAGATTCAGTGTCTCCAGGACACCAAAAACGAGTGGTTGGCTGTGCATCTAGGATAAGTAACAAGGGAGTTATTGTGAGTTTAAGTGCCGTTTTAGGTTAAATGTTTTCGCTCGTGGCTAATTCAGAGGCTGAGTGTTAGCATTGTGGGGTTTTTTTGGAGAAAAAAAATTAAAAAGATCAGTTAGCTGAGTTTCTTCCCGTTACATGGATATAAAACATTCATAGTTTTATTAAATGTTAAGATTCCTTAGACGTTGTTTCCTGCAAATGACGCGTTTATCCGCCCGGTACCGGGGGGGGCCGTGCGTAACAGGTTAAAAGTATGTGTTTTCTTTATAAATGTTTACATGGACTGGCCCGCCCTCCCTTAGGGGAATTCATCCACAAAAAACCCACTGGACGCTGCACTAGGTCAGAAACCAGAGGAGACTGTGAAGTCCACCATAGACGGACCACTTTTGGATAAAATGTCCTCTCCGTTAAAAGGCAGCTCATTCTGGAACAGCCTCCCAACTGAAATACGGGATTCTCCCACTCTCAATAGCTTTAAAAGGCCAACTAAAAGAATGGTTGAGAAATAAACAGAAATGCACTTTAACACAGGGGTATCTCCTCTTGCACTTTATGTAGCACTTGTATCTTCTCTTGCACCTTATATGTCGTAGCTGCTATATTGTATCACCATGTCATAAATACTTGTGTATGCTGCTCTTGCTCTTTTACACTTTTTGCATATCATGTATTTTGTTTTTGCTATGTTTGTAAAATGTAATTTTCTTAAATGTTTTATGTGAGGGACTGCGGATGGAAATTAGCTCAAAGCAAAATCTGGCACTGTTACGCTTGACACATTTTAATGTTTTAAGTGTTCATTATTGAGCATTGTCCATGCCAAATAAACGATACAAAAAAGAACACTACAGGAAAGGGAAAAACCCTAAAAGCACAATAGGGCTTCTTAAAAAATTGCCCTGAGAGGAATTCCTGAGGTTCTGAGTTTATACCTGATGTTGAAACATTGTCAATTATCAGCTTTGCTGCTTGTGGTAGAAATTCTAATTCCCTTCAGAGAAACTGATAAATGAGTCATGTAGAAAGTTTGTCTTTTGTTATATTTAACAAAGTAATAAAGAAAGTCAAATACGATCTAAAATGCAGGAACAGAGCAACTTCATCCTCAGATACAAAAATATGCATAAATAAATAAATGTTAACTAGGTAAAATAAGATATGAATGAACAACAAAAATAAAAAAGTTACATTTATTTGTTATTGGCTATGGTAGGTTATTGTTTATGTTCATATACTTATTTGGCAGTGTGAGAAAAAGTTTTTAGAGAGTACTTGTCCATGGACAAGTGAGTTTGGCAATTTACTTGTCCGAATACATTTTTCACTTGTCCAGAATGGACAAAAATTGGTGCCACTGGAATCTTCTTCTTCGCCAACGTATTTTACATTTTCCCACGTTTTTTACGACACCGCTAACGTAAGTGAGCGGTAAGATTTTACTGCATCACACATAGGGTTGGGTATCGTTTGGATTTTAACGATTCCGGTTCTGCTTTTCGATTCCGGTTATTTTCGGTTCTTGATTCCGGTTCTTTGAGAGGGTAAAAATAAGTCCCATGACAAACTGGGAGAAAAACATATTTATGAAAACATTAAGTCAAACCTGTATTCCTATTTACAAATCACTTCATACTGTTGAATTTCTTACGGTTATTGAATAAAATTATATAAAAATAATCTCTGCATTGTTTAGTTAGTTCTATGTGGTGCAGTTTGAGAATGTACAATTGGCCCAGTCTCCTCTGATGTTACACTGCAACCTGCCTGTGAGACAGATTCCAACCACACATGTCCAACACATAGGCCTAATAATAATAATAATAATAATAATACATTATATTTATAGCCTATAGGCCTAGCGCTTTTCTACAACTCAAAGACGCTTGCATGCTTACACATGTCCTGCAATACACATGCTGCTGCTCACTGTTTGTAAATAAATAGTATTTTCATTTCAATAATGTACTTTCTATACCCTGCTTCATAAACAATACTGACATCCCTGTGCTCCTCCGAGTCTGGGGGTCGGG